GCCACCCTTGGTGTTCCTTGGCTTGCATCCTTTCAATCTCTCCTGTCATCAGATGTCATTCTCCCTGTGTGTGTCTGTGCCCAAATTTACCTCTTGTTATAAGGATACTACCTTAATCCAGGAGGATCTCGTTTTAACATCATTGCATCTTCAAAGAGCCTATTTCCAAATAAGGTCACATTCACAGGTACTGGTGGCTAGGTCTTGAATGTATCTCTTTGATGGAAATAGTTCAAAATAACCAACCATCTTCTCTATGCAGATTCCTCATGCAGGTATTTAGTATAGATCCAAATTCTTATCCTGTATCCCTCCTCCCATATTCCATGACTATTTTAATGCAGAATTTTCTCTGCACAGAATGACTTCCTTGTGTCATCCTCTTTCCCTTTTCTACATGAACATTTTACCCATTTCTTAAAATTTTTATTAGATGCATTTCTTGGATGATTCTCTTTTGAAAGCCACAAATCAAGTATGATTCCTTGTATTTCTGCCTTTATTTTCTTCATATGAATTACATTTCAATAATTGTTTGAATACTTCCAACTAGAAAGTGGTTTGTTTAAAAGAAGAAAATAATTCTTTTTTACCCTTTAATTCCACAATAGTTTTGTGCTTTGCACATAGAGTCACACAATCAGAAAAATAGATGTTTTGAAAATACAAGGCTGTGTGTTTGTTTTAAGCATGTTAGAATAAGTAAAATCTTAGTTTATACATTCTTCTCTGGATTGCTCTCTGCTTTAAACAGGAAAAATGTTAGATATAAAAGCATTGTACAGTTATTATCTGAAACATATAAGACAATTATTCTGCCTGCAGGCTCCGGCTCATTTTGTGATCTTTGGAAAGGCAGTTGCCTTTACCAATTAATAAAAGTAGAACTCACATGAAAAATTTCACACATGAGAAGAGCCAAAGAATAATTATTGTTGAATATCATTCAAGTGCAATTGCTTGATGTTTTTACTTCATTCTTGTGTGGACCAAAATGGAAACGAACATTAAAATCCTAATGATACAAAGATAAATGTGAAATAGAAGTTACTAAAAGTAAAAAGCCTGAGTTTGTCATCTTTATTTCCCAATCCTGGTTTTTAAAAAAACTGCACAATGTTAGTCAAAGACCCTGCTATAGGTTATATGTGTACTTACAAGTGTGCATGCCTTTTATGTATACATACACATTTTTATTCCTATTTGGTATTGCATGTGTATTTAAATTAGAAAATGTGTTATGATTAAAATTGAGATGATTGATTTTACTTTTTTCTTTTTAACACATAATGAGTTCAAATCCCTAGCCTTTATTGGCAATCTTTTCCTGGTAGGTGATATATCTTTATATATATATATATATATATATATATATATATATATATATATATATATATATAAAGATAACTATCCACCAAAGCTTTTGAGCCCTCTGCATTAATATATAGGCATCTCTATTCATATATTACATCAGGTCTAGTGTTTGTATTTATGAGCTAATAAGAGCTATTTATTGGTAAAATTATTTGGGCACCACTTATTAAGTAAGCACCATGTCCACCCAATATATTGCAATTGTTACTACTTTGCCTAATAAAGATTGTTGTGGATTGAAAGTATTACTAGGACCCAGAGATTTCTTGCCCATGGTATTGTTCCCTTTTAGCATTCAGTGCTGCTGCCCATGTTTACATTCTCATTATTGCTAGTATTGATTGTTGGTTGGTGTTTCAGACCATGCTGTGTAGTGACATCAGCTAATTTCAAGTATTGTGGTAAGGGTCTCTGTCAGGTAACATTGGATATTATAGATGGCTGTCCTTGAATATCTTCATTAACTGCTTTTTAGTTTTTAATTAGGATTTAAATTAGATTTCTTACTGTGATGGCTCCCCACAAACGTGCTATACTCCTCCAGAAACTTACCAACTGTTTTTACCATTGGTTTCCAAAGCACTTAATAGTAAATAGTAAATGATGCATTTTCTTCTTTAGAACCTGGGGTAGTTTTCTTTATTTAGTCATATAAAGAGGAGCATGGCAGAGAATAGTAAACCAAATGTGGCTACAGAATTCTTGAGATGGAAACATGCTTCTCATGTGGAAGGCAGAGTCCAGAGTCTAGTGTGGCGGGGACTGTGGGGAGTTCAGAAGGGTAGTGGGACAGGTTCTGTAGTCCTATTGGCCCTGGCGAAGACTTGGCTCTCCCTCTAAATAAGATGGCAGCCTTCAAGGGTTTTGAGCAGAAGAAGCATGATCTGATCAGAAGGATAGCCCTGGCTCCTGGGTTAAGGCTAGACTCTAGAGGACAAGGATGGAGGAGGGAGACCAGTTAAAAGGCTACTGCAGTATTCCAGGTGGTTCTGACCAGGGAAGGGTGGAAGTGTGAGAAGCAATTTGGCCATAGACATAGACATAGACATAGACATAGACATAGACATAGACATAGACATAAACATAGACAGACGATGGTTATTCCTAATCAATCATTGTTCCCTACACTTTGTCAATAGGCTTCAGTTCAATCATCTCATTCTCACTAACTCTTCTTAAGCAGCGCTTCTAATTGTTCTAGCACCTCCACTCCAATACATTTTTAAACGACATCAGAAGCTACAATTCATTGATCCAGTTCATTGTCCTTTCTGGCTTCATTTCCTTCCCTATTTAGCTTAGATTTCATGGGCCCATTTAAATTCGTTGCATGGCAGGAACCAGACAGCTGAACCTCTCTCAACAAAAACTCACAAACATGCTTACTGGCCTCATTCACTGACCTTGCAGATAGGTGTCTTGGCCCGCACTGGGTGTTTCTATATAAAGGCAAACTCTTCCACCTAGATACTAGATCATTCCATTCTTACTTAGTCAAAACGTTGCTCTAGCAAATATGTCTTCTCTCTCAAAAACCAAAGATGATATTATAATACTCGTCTTTCAAAAACCCTTCCTTATACCTTATCCATTTCTCTAACTATCACCTATTTCTTGGCCCCTCACAGTAGTTTTCAGGAGTTCACCTCATTGTATTTTTACTTCCTCTATTCCCATTCTTAATTGGATGGAAAATAATACAATGTTATTAAATAACAGCACAGGAATAAACTTTGTTTCGAGAACTCCCAACTGTAAACCTACTTTTGCTTCAACCTGTATAAAACAGGAAATAGTTTTCTTGAGTGATTTATAAATATTCCTAAAATTCAATTCTAAAATAATAGCTTCTAAAATGATTTGCTCTAGAGCAGCATTAATGAAATGAATATTTAATTTACCAAATTATCACTTACAAAGATAATGATTATTGGCTATATAGGTTCTGGATTATTGTTTAAAATTTATCTCCATTCTTTATAATCACAATTTCAATTAACATCCCAAAACAATTCAAATACTTATTTATTAGTCTGAAATGTTGATAAAATATTGACGCAAACTATACTGCTTGAGTTCAATACTGGCTCTATTATTGTCTAGCTGCTATGTTATCACAGATAAGTCCCTGAAATGCTCTATACCTTAATTTCCCCACTTGTAAAATTGAGATAATAAGAGTGTCTACCCAGCCCAGGCTAGATGGGCTCCGTTGGTTGGAATGTCATCCTATACACCAAAAGGTTGTGGATTTGTTCCCTGGCTGGGGCATTTATAGGAATAAGCAATCAATATTTTTCTTCTTTCTCTCTCTTTCTCTTTCTCCTTCTTTCCTTCTCCCCCTTTTTCCCTTTCCCTTTCTCTAAAGTCAATAAAAACATGTCCTTAGGTGAGGATTAAAAATAAAAATGAGTGTGTCTTCAGAATCTCTTAGTAGAATCAAATGAGATCATGTGCTTAAGTGTTTAGGACAGTGCCTGCAACAGAGTAAGAAACAGGAACTGTGTTATGAATAAAATAATTCTATGGAGATTCTTTGTTACTAAAGCCTCCTGGGAACTTGAGGCAAAATAGAATATCTAAAAGGTTGAAGACATTTCAAGGTTTTGGGAATTATTTAATATAACCATAAAATTGACAGTGGAGGCACTATTAGTTATCTACAAAGTGAGAGAATTAGCCAACAAATGCCCTAGGCATTCAAATAAGAAAGATTACTTATAGTGACAGTGGTTTATAATTTACGGTGAGATTTTTGTTTTTTAAATGTCTGGTTTCAATGATAATAAAACTGAGATATGTACCCATAAAGTGCCAGTTTTGATGTGTGAATAGGCAGAAGCGTAGGAGTTCAGTACAAACTTGATTAGATGCCATAAGAGAAACTCTTCTGAAACACACATACCTATTTTCGTGTATATAGGAAGCTGCCATTAGATCGGTCCCATCCGCACTGGACTGCCACACTGCTGACCAAGTTGTTTTACATGTGCATGTACTTTAAATTTATTATAGGGGGCTGAAATCGGTTTAGCTCAGTGGATAGAGCGTCGGTCTGTGGACTGAGGGGTCCCAGGTTAGATTCCGGTCAAGGGCATGTACATTGGTTGCGGGCACATCCCAGGTAGGGGCTGTACAAGAGGCAGTGGTTGATGTTTCTCTCTCATAGATGTTTCTAGCTCTCTATCCTTTTCCCTTTCTCTCTGTAAAAAATCAATAAAATATATATTAAATAATAATAATAAAATAAATTTATTATAGGGGAATAACAATCACCTATCACTGGGATTTACTTTTTCCTGGCAGAATATACAATTATGGAAGATACAACTTTAATCAACAAATATTAATTGAGAAACTACTATGGACAAGATACAGTTTTCTCATGCCAAGAACATATATATTCCCAAATAAAAATGTAAAACTGACGTAGTAATAGTGGATTCTTGTGATTTCATTGTCTAAGCCTTTCAAATAGACATGCTTTCCTGACATGTCATTAATTGCAATGAGCCCCAGAACTTAGAAGCTCTGAGCACAAGGGGACAAAGTAATTTCAAAGTTTGTCTCCAGAAAAGGGAGTGGGAAAGATCTAAAACTTGTTTTCTCTCTCTTTCCCCCTCTAGTTGGCCCGTCACAACAAATTATTACAGCAGATGCTCAAACCAGGATCAGATCCAGATGATGGAGATGAAGCCTTAAAGTATTATGCCAACCACACGGCACAGATTGAGGTAACTCTCCAAACTTCTTGAAAGGAACTAACTGTGAAAAGATATATTTACTTTCTATTTTCAGACCTTTTCCATAAGTGTTTCCCAGAACAGCGAAGCCAAACTGATATAAACTGTAAAAATATGCACTAAAAGATGAGAGGTGAGGAGGGATCTACAAAAATTTGAGGCACACGTTTTTTCCAAGTTATCTTTTGTGTTTTGGCCAGGACTGTATTTAAGTTTCCTTTTGTAACTAATAAAGTAGTTTTGGTTCTGTTTTGTTTTGGTCATGGAAACTGTCATTGCAGAGCAGTGATGTTTTAGAGGAAAAAAAAAAAATATATATATATATATAATAGAAGCGGTCATTTAAGAAAAGGTTTCTTTTTAAAAACTATAGAAGGCTTATTAAAATAGAGTTCTCTGTGTAAGAAAGCATTCGAAAGTATAAGAAACACTGAAGTCACTAATAATGTTTTTATATTGCTGGCATGAACTTGGGATGGTTTAACAGTTTCCATTCTCAGTATGTGACAGCTGACCTTCCCACCCCCATAAATGAGGCATTCTTTAATGGCCGGTGGCAGCTCAGGAGGTGTGGGTCCACACAGACTTATCATTATGTGTTGTGAGACTCATCTGGCTGTCATTTACCAGCTATGGTGTCATTCTGACGCTAGTTGGCAGGGCTAATCGGGCAGAAGTGAGGAGAGTGGTTGACACTTGTCACTAGTAATTTGCATCCAAACATTCATTCACTTTGGTGGATATAGTTCAGTTTTCAGCAGAGTGCATGGTGGGTATCACTGCTCTTCAGTCTCATGGTATATGGTCACTGGACCTTATTGTGTACTATTGCCAAACCTTTGGAATAATGAGAATTGTGACCTGTGTCACAGAATGGATCTCTTGCTAGCATTTATAAACATTAATATTCCTGTGGCTTTTGTGGGAGACTTGACCTAATGGAAACTATTAGATGGACCAGCAGCAAAGCGTTGCTTTCTGCATCAAGTGCTTAGGAACCGGAGGCTGGCAAAGTCAGGGCGCTGGGGAAATGGATACAAATAGATCACCAAACCAGAGTGGTTCTAAGGAAGGTCCCAGAAGCCAAAGTGCGAAGCTAGGTGATTAGAAGAGATTGGGAGCAGCAGGGAGAGTGGGTGAGCCAGAGGTGAGGATTAGGGTGTGTGAGAGATGGGACTATAGTTGAAATCCTGCTTTTATTGGTTTCCCAGCAGTGAGGTAAGATTTAGCTGGAAATACATAAATTCATTAAATACGTACTGAGCATTTACTCTTTACCAATTCTCATGGTCATTCAAAGACCACCTCATATAACCTGCCCTCCTTTCTTCACAATATTCTTTCATTTCCACTCCTGCCACAGTGTGGTCATTCTGTTAGTGTAACATGTGATATTGCTTCTCATGTGCCACTTGTCCTCTTCATGAGGCAGGTCTCGGTCATCTTTGTACTTCTGAAACTGAACACTGTATCTGGCATATAACCACAATGGTGAATATTGTGGAAAATCAGTTTGTCTATAAGTTACAGACTCAAAGATCCTGGGAAGTAAGAAGCACCTTGAGGATTATCTGGTCTACTCACCCATCCAAGGAGGAATTGCTTTATGATAGCTCTGTTCTGCCTTCAGTTCTTCCTGTGCTAGAGACCTCATTACTTTAGGGGGAACTGATCCAATTTGGAACTCTAATAATTAGGAAAAAATCTTTTCTGATCAAGAATGCACACTATGCCCGACCAGTATGGCTCAGTGGTTGAGTGTGGACCTATGAACTGGTCAGGGCACATGCTGGGGTTGGGAGCTCAATCCCCATTAGGGGGCATGCAGGAGGCAGCTGATAAATGATTCTCATCATTGATGTTTCTCTCTCTCTCCCTCTACCTTCCTCTCTCTGAAATCAATAATGATGATGAGGATGAGGATAATGATGATGATGTCTTCACACAAGCAGGCTTTTCCATCTTTCTCCTCAGCCTTCCCTGTTATGTTACTGATGTCTCGCCTCCTGGCTGTAAAATGGCTGCACAGTTTCAGGCATCATCCCTTCACATGACCTTTTATTCTCAGCAGGAACAAAGAATATACAGGCAAAAAGCACTTTTGTGTTAGCTACTTTTTGTTGTTGTTATTATTTTGTTGGTCTCAAAGGCTTTCTACCTTTTGGGAAACAAAATCTTTCCTGAAAGCCTCCCTCACCCCCCAGGATATTTCTCCTCATGCCTCATTCTCCAGAAGTAGGTTACATGCTCACTGACACCGCATCAGTGGCAGAGAGAAACAAGTCAATCTTCTGGTTTAGGTCAGTCTTGATTCATTCTTGAGGGTTGGGCAGCATATGTAAATGTGAACCTTCAGATTTGGTTTTCACAGCCCTTGTTACATAGTAAAATTATATGAAAATATTCAGCCTGGTTTGTTTTTTTTAATCTAACATTATATTGTCACAAATACCAAATAAGGAAAGGTCAAAATAATTAATATTGCCGAAACCGGTTTGGCTCAGTGGATAGTGCGTTGGCCTGCGGACTGAAGGGTCCCGGGTTCAATTCCGGTCAAGGGCATGTACCTTGGTTGTGGGCACATCCCCGGTGGAGGGTGTGCAGGAGGCAGCTGATCGATGATTCTCTCTCATCAATGTTTCTGGCTTTCTATCCCTCTCCCTTCCTCTCTGTAAAAAATCAATAAAATATATTTTAAAAAAGTGCTGATGAGTTTCTACCATTTAAAAATTTTTAAAAAATTAATATTTATATATTAATATGCTAGGATGGATATTCTACCTACAAAAATTATGGGTTGCCATGAATAGGAAAATATTTTAACGATATGAAGCACCTTTCTCTGGCATCATGTTGAGTAGGCCATTTGTTTCCCAGCAGCCCTTTTTAGGAAGGACAGGCTAAGAACAAGATGCAGATATTTCAAGTGCAGGGTATAATGTGATTAGCTCATCACTTGCTAATTAACACCCTCTCTTAATTCTCTCCCGTACTTCATGAAAGTAAAAACGGGGTTAATGGTAATCCAGAAAGAATAAAGACTTGGGTTTTGGTTATTTATAATGAAGTATAACATTTATGATACTTTAATCAGCTAATATCTCTTCCTTAAAGAGAAACATGTAAAGTAGTCCAGTAAAGGACTGTCTAGGGTACTTCAAACTGGCCTGTTTTGTTTTTTTCTTCATTCACTGATTTCATAAAATATCTTTAACATAAAAAAAAAAAAACAACAGTATGCTAAGGCCAAGGTGCTACAGGCTAGAACGCACCTTGAATTAATGTTTGCAGATTGTCCGGCACGACAGGACCATGGAGCAGATAGTCTTTCCTGTCCCCAACATATGTGAATACCTGACGCGGGAGTCCAAGTGCCGGGTGTTCACGATGACTGAAAGGGACGAGCAAGGCAGCAAAGTGAACGACTTCTTCCAGCAGACAGAGGACCTCTACAATGAGATGAAGTGGCAGAAGAAAATCAGGAGTAAGTACCATAAACAAACGGTGAGTTTGGGGTGTCGTGGTAGACCCATTGGTACTTTAGGACACAGGACACTCCTTAGTTAAACTGCTTTTTAATTTCTTGCCATCCGATGTTCCTGAGATCCCCTATAACCTTAAGAATGTAAGCTCAGTCTACCGCTGAAGCCAAGACACCTGCAGCTTCATGCAACAGAAACCTCTGCCTTAGATCACCTTCCAGTGCTGATCCTATGGTTTTATAAATATGATGAAATACGAGGTTGCAGGTGTATGTTTTAACTGTAGAACAGCTGCAGGTTTGAAGTCCCCAAATGGGCCCAGACTGGCCTTAACACTCAGCGAGTGGCATGGAGATGCCGGTCCCAGCGCGCTCATCCTCTCTCGCCCTAGGATCTTAGGATGGAGTGGATTGTTTCACGATTTTCTGAAAGTCTTTCTTTCCCCGTATCTGTACATTGCCAAATCAATTTAACAATGGTGTGATGCTTGTATTCTCATAGTTATCATTTTAAAATAAAAAGAAAATGAGTTTCTCAGGCCTCCCATTTATTTGGAAATACTCAATCTACAAATTTAAAAATTTGAGAATTTAAAATAAAATTTCATTTTCCAACGTAACTAATATCATGAGCTTTCAACAAAAATAGATAGAAGAAAACTCTTGATTAGGTCTTTTTCTTTTTGTCTTTTGGGAACGTTTTCCAGACAAGCAGGCGTATGTTCCTCAATATCTCTATTCAGCATGTGTCCTCATTCTAGTGTCCTAGGAATTTTAACGATTGTGGTTTTTGAATTTGAGTGGAGCCTGAGACACACCATCTTTGAAGATAAGGTGGCGGCATGCATTGCCAGACTTTCCTAGCAGAATATTTGAAAAAATAAAGAAATCAATCTCCCATAGCATTTTACTAGGTAGAATCTTATGAAGTTCAGAGGAAATTTTGGGTGTCCAGAATACATATGAATACTCGACGTTTTTATTTGAGAAATTAGAAAAACATCCATTTTTATCTTTGACAAAAGGTAAATTGAGTAATGAACTCATGTTTGCAGGGTCTGAGCTTTTTTTTGGATAAATATTTTTTCATTTATAAAAAGAAATCTTCAAATAACTTCCAGTGCATGTTTTACTTTAAAAAATTGGAAGCACCTTACTATGAGGTTATAGATAGGATCTAATTCATTTGATGGATCCATTACCAATGTCTGCTTCAACCTCTTCTAACTTCACCTTCACTGCTTTTAATAGTGAGGACTCCTCATCCGGAATTATGAAGATGCATGTGCTTACCGTTTATGATACATTAGTAACTTAATGTCATGGTTAGTTGTAGCCTATTCTAGTATTGAAATGCTCCCTTCCCAGAGAAGATGATACAATGTATTTAAGGGTAGTTCAGTTTATCAGTAAGCAACAGACCTCAGAGATTGGAATTCACAGAAAATAATTGGAAAAGTTTAACATTTTTATTTTTATTTATGCTTTCCCTCTTCAATTCATTCCATATTAAGTTAGAGAATGAACAAGACCTGAAAAGTCATGTGGTCAAACTTACATGCATTACACATCTGTTCAACTGCTTTGGAGTGGTAGAAAAAAAAAATCCTGACTTTTGTTTGATGTAAACTGTATGCAATAGATGCATTTGCTATTTCTTTTTCTGGTGACAAATACAGAGTTCCTTTTCTGAAATTATTCAGCAAAGCCATTGTCACTTGTGGGTAGTTCTTATTTCACTGTCTTCTGCTATTCCAAACCCAATCAGTTTTTGTAAATCACTAGTTCCCAAGAAGTGGTACCATGCCCCGCTATTCAGTTTCAGAGTTTCAGGTAACTGTGTTTGTGTCATAGGAATTTTCATCAGAGATAGATCTGTGCCAGGGTTTTTTTTTTTTTTTTGTTTGTTTGTTTTCTTTTTTATTTGACTTTAAGGTATTGGCGTGGGACAAATATATCAGCTTTACTAAATTATATAGCAGTGTGTACCATTCCATTAAAAGTAGCCTCAGGCAGCTGCTAACCTATCTTTTCCCTAATCTTCTTTAGGGATATCTTAGAATTAAAACAGAATCACCTTTCCTATCCATCATTATCAATTGCAAAATTATGCACCCTTCTACAATGGTTTGGTTGTGAATTGGCTAAATGATGAAGAAATGAAATAGAAAACTTCTTCATGGTATTGATTATCAACTTTATAAAATAGGACATATTAAGTGTTTATTTAAATATGCTTTAGACTAGTTTACAAAAATGCATTTAGGAAAATGTTATTGCAGTAGGGTTGATGTGTGGAAACCAAAATTTATTTTTCTGTTCTATCCCATTGCACATCTTCCTTGCTAGATAACCCTGCTCTGTTCTGGTTCTCGAGACACATATCTCTCTGGGGGAGCATCTCCTTCAACTTGGCCGTGTTCATCAATTTAGCTGTTGCTCTCTTCTACCCATTTGGGGACGATGGAGATGAAGGCAAGTGCTTGTCTTTCTTTAAATGATAAATATTTTAAAGTTCTAAAATAACCCTCTCAATGCAGTTCTTAGATAATTAGAGCTTCAAAATAATAATGATTTAATTCTTGTTAAATCGATTTTTCTATAGTTGTTGGAAGTAGAGGATTATTGTAAGTGGCATAGGCAGAAAACTATGGTCAACAAAAATGTTATTTTGAAAAAACTCAGATACAGAAGAGCTATATTACATATTGATAAATAAAGCACTGAAAGTTGTTATTTCTACCTATTATTGCCCAAAGCATTTTTATACATCATCATATCAATTGTATAAACATTAGTGGCCCAGTGCACAGATTTGTGCAGATTGTAAGGAAATTAATTAGAAGAAATATTTTAATAATGCTGTTTGCCCTTTCTCTATAATAGAAGTGTCAGAGAAGAAAGAAAATTAGTAAAATGAATATGAAAATAATATATAAATTGATTAATAAGTAATTACAACATGATATAACAACAGAAACATAAAAACTACAAAAGCATGATATAAAAAACATTGATAAAAACAATGACTGATAAATTGATTAAACTTATTCTAATATTTTCCTGTATAACACATTAAGAGTAAAAACATTTTCAGAGTGCTTGACTAATTTCCCTTGTGATAAAGTATTTATAACTTTAACTTTAATGTCACACACTCTTTGAATTCAAGAGAAAGCAATATATATATAACTGACAATGTCCAAAAACAGGTTCAGGTAGGAATATTCCTACTCTGTCTAGAATTTGTCCTTGTGATTTATTAATGATCATTGCAAATGCTGGCATCATGGGAAACTGTCTTTGAATTAATTTAAATGGGAGGTGTGTGAGATGAGGACAAATATTGTGTATGCACGAATCAACGTTTATTTTTAAATTGCCAGTGTGCATCATAGGTACTGCTGATTGGTTAGTCAGACAGTTGGATGAATGTACAGTTGGTCAGTTAGCCTTTTATATATATTTATATGAGAAAATTAAGAGTTTATGCCAAAATATATTCATGTGATTACTTTAAATAGTGGAATTTACATTTTACTCTCTTCTCTTTGTTTTCTGTCATGTATAAGGTTTTTATAATGACTATACATGAAATCTGAAATATATTTAAAAATTTAATATGACAAAATATGATAATATCTCAGAATAAAAGATTAACTCTCATTTCTAGACCAGTACTTCTTTACATGAATGATTGACTGTGGAGTTAATATTAAACTAATATTACATGAGGTTTTACAAAGGCAAAGACAAGAGAAATTATCTCCTAGTAATGAAATGGGAAGTATAAGAGAAATATTTCAAAAGGTGGGACTGTAGAAATTGTTTTAAGTCTAGAAGAGTGAATGGGAAACTTTGTTACTGGCTTGGGATATGGTCAGGTGAATAACTTTGGAGTGTGTGTTTAAAGAATGGGTTGGAGGAAAAGATGAGTTATCCTATATAATAAAAGCCTAATATGCTAAGTGTCTGGTTGTCCTTTCAACCAATCAATGCGTAATATGCTCATGATATGCCTAGGCCACTCAACTGCTCACTATGACATGCACTAACCACAAGGGGGCAGATGCTCCAAATGGTAGATTAGCTTGCTGCTGGAGTCCAGCCTATCAGACTGAGTGAGACAGGCTGGATATGCCCTGGAGCCTTCCATGGTCCCTCCCCAGTTGGCCAACCTCCTGCGTCCCTCTCTGGCCTCTATTGTGCACCAGTGGGGTTCCTCCGCCTGGCTGTACCCTCACAATCCAAGACCCCTAGTGGGAGACTGGAGACCCCTAGTGGGAGGTTGGTTTCAATCCAATCCTGCTCAACACAGCAGCTGCCCCCTGGTGGTCAGTGCATTCCCATAGGGGGAGTACCCTTCATCCAGAAGCTGGGCTCATGGTTGGCTAGTGTAACAGCGGTGGTGGGAGCCTTTCCTGTAGGCCTAAGCCAGCAGTCAGACATCCTCCGAAGGCTCCCAGACTGTAAGAGGGTGCAGGCCAACCTGAGGGACCACCCACCTCAGTGCACAAATTTTGTCCACCAGGCTTCTAGTCAGTGAATAATAACCACAAGAATACCCAGGATATCTCATCTGTCCATAGAATTATTGTGAGACTTTAATGAGGTGTTATGAATAAAGCATTTAGAATAGTAACTGGAAATCATTCAATAAACCTTAGTTGTTGTAGATGTTGATAGAAAGTAAATGTTACTACTACACAGGGAAGCCCAATGAAAGGAATGGTAGGATAAGAGCAATGCTTATTTAAATCTATAGCAGATGAACTGGAGGTGAACAGGAAGGAAAATAAAATCCCATGAGTAATTTACTCTTTTAAAGGTTCAGTAAGATAATAGATATCAAAGTCCTAACATTTAGGTGAGATGATTATGACTAAAGTTTGACCTTTTGGAAGGCATTCCAGTGCTAAAGGAAATATATTTGACAGTGGAGCGGATGTGAGAATTAAATAGCAATGACAAACAGCAAATATCTGGCCACCCATTGTGGAGAAGGAACAAATACAACAGGAAGTGGGACAGCTTTCCTCTTCACTGTTTCATCCCATTTCGTGCTGAGGGCACCCTATAAGAATGTAACTCTTATAGGAAAGAAGTCCATCTTGAAGTGATCAATTAGTATCATATTGCACACAGGTGGTAAGACTTGTAGAAGCATAAAGTCTTAGATATGGAAATTATCTAATATCAAACCTTTATTTGACAGAGAAAGAGAAGTGGACCCATAGAGGCTAAAAAATGGCAGAGTAAAGGGTTCACTGGTTCCAATCCAAGACTTGTCTACATGGATGATTGAGTTGGAAGAATAATAGGAAGATAACAAATCTTTAAACACAACATAATTTTTTCTGGGTTCCATTCCATGATATTTCTTACTTGACATTAGAGCCAATGCATGTAGCCTCTCCTGTCCCCTATTGAACATGAAATATTAATGACGATGGGCAGTGCCACCCCTCGAGACATCTACTCATTTAGGAGAAAGTAGAATCCTTGATGCATTTTTAAAAAATATATTTTATTGATTTTTTTACAGAGAGAAAAGGAGAGGGATAGAGAGTTGGAAACATCGATGATTCGATCAGCTGCCTCTTGCACACCTCTGATGAGGGATGTGCCTGCAACCCAGATACATGCCCTTGACCAGAATCAAACCCAGGACCTTTCAGTCCACAGGCAGATGCTCTATCCTCTGAGCCAAACTGGTTTTGGCCCTGATGTATTTTTAATTGTTACCTGACTAATACCAGATATATTAATATCCAGTAATATTAATATTAATATTATTAATATTAATTATAATATTAATCATTATAATATTAACCATTAATATTAATCATAATGATAACAATGGATGATATTTATTGATCAGATTGGGTTAGGCCAGTGGCCGGCAAACTCATTAGTCAACAGAGCCAAATATCTACAGTACAACGATTGAAATTTCTTTTGAGAGCCAAATTTTTTAAACTTAAACTTCTTCTAACTCCACTTCTTCAAAATGGACTTGCCCACTCCGTGGTATTTTGTGAAAGAGCCACACTCAAGGGGCCAAAGAGCTGAATGTGGCTCATGAGCTGCAGTTTGCTGACCACTGTTATAGGGCCCTCCACCTTCCCACCCATCTGCAGATAATATTTCATTGTCAGGCTTTAGGAACTCTGTTTTAACTTGTTTAGGAGTCCATGCCTTATGTGTGTGGCTGTAAGCTTGTTTTGTTTTGTTTTTTTTAATTTGGTTAATTGGTTTCTTTGTTTAGCATATGTTTCTTCAAAGAAGAAACCTGTGCTGAAGTTGAGATGTGAGGCTAAGCTGGGTGTGGCTGAGGAAGCAGCTGTTGATGCTAGGGAATCGCCTGGCTGTCCATTCAGAAGTTGAACAGTGCCATGCCTACCATCCCTGCCCAGTTCGGCAAGGGTGGGCTCATTAGTGGAGTAAATTGTTGTTGAGGGAATTTTTTATATCAGATAGCATGTGATTTAAAAAAAAATACATCATATTTGAATGTGGATGTAGTTCTTTTTCCCCTAAAGTATTTTATGTTAAAGAAAATACGTTTCTCAAGGTGATTTTGATTCATTCAACTCAGTTACAACCATTATGTGCCAGGCACTCTGCTACACCCTGGAGATACAAAGGAAGCTGTCCTTTCTTCAAGGAGCTCATGGTCTAGTGAAGGAATGAAGTAAAGAGTAAAACACAATAGTGAAGACCACCTTTGGATTTATGGATGGATGTCTACTTTGGTTGCAGTGATGTGGAGAAAACAGAAAAGTCTTATGAGTTTACTAGTATGTGGGAGGCAGATGATTAGAGAGATGGGAAAGTAAGAAGCAGCATGCTCTGTACAGGAAACTATCAGCAAGTCAGTCTCAGGTAGACAGGAGATTTCCATTCTGTGAGTTAAATTGAGGACTCTAACTTTGCTATTTGAAGCTTCTTTTTAGAGGATTAACTTTATACTAAGATTTAAAAATGTATAGAATGCATTCTAAATTTCATTATAAAAGCAATACATGCTTATTATAGAAATCAATACAAATATAAACTAAGTAGAGAAGACAGACCCCCTTCCTATCTTCATTGGGTAAAAGTTGGTTTGATAGTCCATATTGTCTTCTCTAGGGTTTGTCAGAGGATTTTGGTATATTAAGCATTAAATCTTCAACTATAAATCAATGATTCTTCTTACAAAAAATGATTATAAATTATTGTTAATTGACAATACTATAAATTAATAGCCATTTTATATAACTTTTACATTTATTAATTCACAAATACATATTTAGCATATATTTAGCATACTTAGCTATTTATCTAGCATGTACCTTGAATATGTGAATTCTTTCACTAAAGGGACCAAATGCCAGTTTTAAGTGTGTGGTTATAATTTTTTGTTTAATCGAAAGGAAATCTCAGCAAGCCAAATACTATCTGAGAAAACTAGTCAAATTGTGGTTAGGTGATCAGGCATTCATGACAATGCAGAGTATGACTATCAGAGTCAAAGCTGAGACTTTAAATAAGAATAACACATTGAATCATTACTTATAAATTATACTGGAGTCCAATGACTGGCTAAAAGTTGTTAAATGTATAAAGATGTTGGCAGTTTTAGAGTGAAGCTCCACAGCTTGGGGAATTTGTAACTGGAGATTTAGTTGCTTAAAACAAGATGACAGATTATTTTGATTTATTCATTTAATCAACAAATATTTATCTGTAACAGCATGCCAGGCATTGTGATAGACCCAGAAATGGTCCTCACCCTTACAGAGCTCATGTTTTGATGGTGTCCTGACAATCATGAGAGAAAGTTGGAGGCATTATTCTCTCTGTGGCTCTTTGAAATCTGTGAAGTTAGGGCAGTTGGTGGTCAGGCTATGTTTTGTACACATAGAGTGCTTCCAAGCCAATATCATAATAAACATGAGTAGGGTGCCCATTTTGTTAGTATTGCCAGAGGACAGGAATTGCAGGTGATTTCCATAGCAATTTACCCCTTTCTTCATCTCCCAAGTAATCTTATCAGATCATAAATTTGGTGAAAGGGCAATCAAATCTCTCCTCCCAACTCTCATTCATCATTGCTTGCTATAAGAGATAACATGATAAGAACAAACATTGCAAAAATAAACACGTCTAAACCAGTGCTGTTTGCTATCTGAGTTGTTTTGTTTTTAATGTCTAACAGGATCTTCCCACCTACTTTTGATCTTTTAGCACTCACTGTGAACTAAAAGCTTACACGGAATTTGTTGCCAGAGTCCAGATAATCCCATGGTTTTGATGGTAACACAAAAGCTCTACACACCTCAGCCCTGTGGTGTTTTGATGCAGAAATTAATTTTATAAATTATAAAGAGGTGTGGCCAAAAGATGCAACAAGTAGAAAAATCTCTCTTTTGTTGTTTCCCCTCTGACTTCATCAGCCTGTTCACATGTTTGAGGTTTCGACGTTGGTCTAATGAGCCCAAGAATGTTGCCCTTTAATTTACTTCTGCAAACCCGGCACCACGTGATCTTCAGAGGGGGGTTCCTTGAATCCACATGTCAGTATAAATTTGTACATTTTTTTAACAGAACAAAATTTTAAATACCTTTTTGGGCAATTTCAAAAAAAAATTTGTTTCTGATTATTTAAATAGCTTACAAGTTTTTTAAGAACTTGAATTGACCTTCACATACACTCATACATATTCATATATATATTTATGCATCTATATACACACACATGTGTTTTAAAAGCTACAATTTGTATCTATTTTATTAAGACTGGATATTCTACATTCTGAATTCTTTAGAGCCATGGTTGGCAAACTATGGCTTGTGAACCACATGAGGCTCTTTGGCCCCTTGAGTGTGGCTCTTCCACAAATCACCATGGCATAGGTGAGTTTATTTTGAAGAAGTGGTGTCAGAAGAAGTTTAAGTTTAAAAAATTTGGCTCTCAGAAGAAATTTCAATCATTATACTGTTGATATTTGGCTCTGTTGACTAATGAGTTTCCCCACCACTGCTTTAGACGAATCTATAATGTAGAAACTTGATAATAATAGAACCTGACAGAGTATGAGTTCAGTGGAAAAATACATGATTTAGCTGTCCATTTAATGGCCACTAATTGTAACTTTTAAATTAAGGTTCCCAAATGGGATACTTCTGTCAAAATATTTAGCATATATAACTCCTGTAGGAGACAAAGATGAAGAACTCTCAGAGTTAATAAGAAGGGGCATAACTAGTGAGCATGTAAGAGGCCTGAAATTAATCACAAACTTTCTGGAAAGAAATGTAATGAATAACGTGTTCAAAGAAATCTCCTTTAAACACAGAGTGTGTAGAATGGGGTGTTTTGAAATTGTGTCCCATGCTTGACTTGCTATACGTGTTATATGAAATACAGCGGCAAAGGTTTTAACATTTTCTAGATTTGTTCTTGGTAAAAATAAACTTTTTTCACATTTCACAGGTACACTCTCTCCGTTGTTCTCAGTTCTTCTATGGATAGCAGTTGCAATCTGCACATCCATGCTGTTTTTCTTCTCCAAGCCTGTGGGTATCCGGCCATTTCTTGTGTCTGTAATGCTCAGATCAATATATACAATAGGTCTTGGGCCCACATTAATACTTCTTGGCGCAGCTAATGTAAGTATTTTGCTTTGTACTGTTATAGATTAATTAAAAGTGTACTAAATGTAAAAATTCAACTACATGCTTAAATTCATGTATACACAGTAAATTCTAATTTATTATGAATCCGAATTAACCAGAATTTAATTTATACATTCTTAATTTTGAGAGAAAGAAAAAAAATGACAAGTAAAATTTGATATATTTACAAAGGTAGCCCTTGGGGCATGACCCAGTTCTGCAATCAATTTAATCCAATCCAATTTTATTGCCTTCTGCGTCCCATACCAACAGCTATTGACAAAAATGACTTTGAGCCACTCTTAACATCCTAGTGACTTCTAAATCATCTAAGAAAGATTAAATTATATTCAGTAGAATTTTAGAACTGAGTACCTTTTATAAAATGACCAAGGAAAAGGGGTTGCTATATGAGAAAACTATGAAACTGGGCTCATTTTATCTGAGCAAAACCTATAAACTTGTGAAAGGCATAGATGAGATTCATATTTTTTTACACTAAGTTTTAAAGTGTTAGAACAAGAAAGCACATTTCAAAACTTAAGTTACGTAAGTTTAGAATAATTAAGCCAAAGTACTATTCCAAATAACAGCAGCTGTACCCAAGAGAAAATTTTATAGGGACTCAACAACTTTCTGCAAGGGCGCTACGAAGGGATAGTGAGAAAAGGTAAATCATCAGGCTGATGAAAGAGCTAATGGCTAGGTAAACAAATAAATATTGTTAGTATGTTTGCTGCATACCTGAAGCATTTTTTTAATATATTGTGGGTTTCTAGCAAAATGTCCTATATTCTGATAATCTGTATTTAGGTATTATCTCCCTTACTACATTCAATGGTTCTTAAGGATAATAATTAATTATTCAATGTTTGGAATATCATTGGTATTCAACAAATATCCCTTAAATAAATTAGTGAAGGAGTGAGTGAATGAACGAGGGAAAGGTTATTTTTATATTATACAGTTACACTGCCTTGTACGTAAAATATATGGCAAATATTTATTGAAAATGAATAAATTAAATATCCGAAATTTTGAGAATTAGAAAGCTGAGCTAGTATGGCTAATCTGTTTCTGATTTTAATATAATTATTTAAAAATTACATGTGGTATATATGACAGCTTCTAGTTAGCTAAAACATTCCATAAACCAAATTGCCAATTATTCCTCAATCATTGTCAATAAAAGAGAGTGTACTACACATGCAAAGAGATCTATCAGCACAGAATTCTGTAAAGTACTAAATGTATTATTGTATAAATTTCTCGAGGGCAGACGTTGTCACATTCATAGATACAATCCTACCCTCCTCACTCCTCCCAACTCCCATTTTTTTACCTTAATACCTGGCACTTAAGTATTTAAAAAATTGCTTACATGAGCTGAACTTATACTTTCAGTGCTTTGGAAATAAGCTACTTCTGCAATATTGCCCATCAAGCTAATTAAGGAATCTTCATGGATGTATCCAAATTTTTACAAGCATATTGGTGTGTTGACTTTATTATTTTTTAAATACATTAAAGGGATACACCTGTAATAGTGTCAAAATAAATAAATAAATCTATAATAATAAAAGCATACTATGCTAATTAGACCAGACAACCTTCTGGACAACTTTCCGGACAAAGCTGTGGGGTCGAGGTAGAGGCAGCCTCTGCAGCTGAGGGGGCCGAGCTCCTTGCATGAATTTCATGCATCAGGCCTCAAGGAAGGAAGGAAGGAAGGAAGGAAGGAAGGAAGGAAGGAAGGAAGGAAGGAAGGAAGGAAGGAAGGAAGGAAGGAAGGAAGGAAGGAAGGAAGGAAGGAAGAAAGGAAGAAAGGAAGAAAGGAAGAAAGAAACCATTAACCGTTGAACCAAATTACTTGAAGGAGCAAATAATATTTATAAAGAGGTAACTGGTCCTGAATAAGACATTAATCTAAGAGAGAGAAATCCAAGTTTCATAAAGTGAAATCATAGCCACGTTGAGTTAGGCCAAAACTAGCAAACATTCATGGGCCTCTTGTATAATAGTCACTGAACACACCAAGAAGTAGAGGACGAGGGTCCCCTCTCCCAGAAGCTTCAGGAACAGTACATAAGGAGATAAGGAGTGTGAAGGTGAAAGGAATAATTAACAGTAGTAATGAAATCATAGCAATAAAGCCCGCTATTTACCAAGTGCCTAATATATGGAATACAGTTTAATTGTAAAACGTTGCTATTGTGATCATAAGAGTGTTTGTAGTTTGGTCCACAGAGTTGTTTATGGACTTCGTGGCTTTCATAGTGTTGAGCAAATGCAGAAAGTCCCTTTTTTGGAAGAGGATTCAAGTGGGAGGAAAGAACCTGGATCTATGTTCTAAACTGATAATCTATGTATTATCAGTTTCTATTATTATATCTCATTTTTATCTGCTTGTTTCTAAAAATTGAAGTCTTGTTTAAATTGCAACTAGTTTCTCTATCTTGTCACAGGAGTCATCTCAGTATTTGAGATGTTTCAAAAGATTCAGATGTTTTTCTCTGTTATAAAGTATATCTTATAAGCCAGTACAGTTTTCTTCCCATTCCCTATGTTACATTTTTAGTCATTGATAATGGAAATTAACATTTTATTTTTGCAAATATAAACACATTTTGTAAATTTGGGATCAGTTAATTTTTTAATACTATTAGTATTAGTCTCATTTTAATAGGATAATATTTCCAGTCTTATGGTTGTTACATAATGTGTTTAACCATTTCATTAATTTGTATTGTTTCTATTTTAGATATTTTTAATAATAAATAATAATGTAGTGAATACCTGTGAAAGATCTTTGAATATCTTCTAAACACTCATTATCTACCATGTTTTTTCCTTCTTAGGAGTGTCTAGAAATGTGTAATTTATTTAATGGCATTTATAAATAATTTCCTTTCTCACAATTATTTGTAATGTGGAAGTGTTCCCTTATTCTTGGACTTTGTCTCACCATTTTTGCAGAGAGGTAAAGCAAATTGGAGGTTAGCAGACAACTGTCTATTAATGCCCCAGTGTCGAAATTTAATAGTGTCATGCCCATAGTTACTTACAGTTTCCTGGGAAGGCTCATGATACTGCTAATCTATAAGGTTCTATGTGTTCATTTAACATAAATAAATTATGTTAAATTTATTCAGTTATATATTCTGAATCAAAACTGTCATATCTTCTCTCTCTCTTATTTCTCTCTCTCTTATTTCCCTCTCTCTCTCTCTCTCTCTCTCTCTCTCTCTCTCTCTCTCTCTCTCTCTCTCTCTCTCTCTCTCTCACACACACACACACACACACACACACACTATTTCTCATATAATATGGTCACTGAATATTTCTAACTTCTAATATCAGTTGCAGAAACAGAAAACTGCTGCAGTGCTGGGGGAAAGGTAGTATCTGTCAAGTTTAGTAAAAGAACAAGTTTATACCACCCTTGTTTACTGCACTGTTAGTTGGAAATTTAGAAGATTTCCAGGCTGATTTTCACTACATGAAAATTTTGCCTTAGACTTTAACCTTAGAAACTTATCCTGCCTAAGATATAATATCACTGAAATGGAGATTGTTTTAATCACATCATTTCATTTTTGAAGGTTGATGGAAATATGGTAATATAGTTCAAAACAATTCAATTTAACTACTCAATAAATAGTAGACAGTCTTTTTTTTTTCTTTTTGGTAATAATTTATTCCTGGAATATAGGTCATGTTTTCCCATAGGAACAATGTAAGGTGTGGATAGAATTTCTGATCAGGGACATAGAACCAAATAAGATGCCAAGGATAATATAAAGGCAGTTATCCATTTCTGCAATTACATAAAATAGTAAAGTGAAAGGACATCACAAATAATTCTAGAGCTATGAGGCACCTTAAGGCTTATTCGCAGCTACGCATTTCATTTTAGAAATGAGTATGCAGTGTCCTATTAAAACCAGGAGGGTTCAGCAAAGTATTTAGTGACAGAGCCAAGGCTGGAACCCAGGTGGCCCAGCTTCCCACGCAGGGTCTTTCCAGTGGACTGCAGTGTTAAAGTCCTGCAAAGACATCAATTTCCTGGCCCAGTTCGCTCAACCTCCATGATTGGTTGCCCTTGCCATAGAAACAGGGATTGTTATGTAATGGTGTTGATGAATGAAGGACTGATCAGACAACAGCAAGTACACTGAGTGGTCAGATTATTTTGATCTCTGAACACATAATAATCGGGCCACTCAGTGTATATCCTATATAATAAAAGGCTAATATGCAAATTGTCCCCTCCACCAGGAGTTCAACCAACAGGCAGGCTGGCCAATCACCCATGTCCCCTCCCCCTGGCCAGGCTGGCCGGACCCCACCCATGCACAAATTCATGCACTGGGCCTCTAATACACACACACACACACACACACACACACACACACACACACACACACACAGAGTGGCCAGATTATTATGTGTTCAGAGATCATAATAATCTAGCCACTTAGTATATGTCATGACATGAGAAGGGAGAATATCTCTGCAATTTCTTCATTCTCTGCATGAAACTTTCCTAGAAAATTTTTTCTAAAAAGACATATAGATTTTATTTTTAAAATGTATACATTTTAAGGTCATGGTGTGGGGAAAACCAGAATTCAACTTCTTTCTTACCCATTTATTCTTGCATTTATTTTTCCTTGTCATGAACACGTCAAAAGACAACAATTTCTATGTTTCTGGTCTCTACAGAAATAGGTGGGTACCACCGCCAGCATCCACTCCACCGCACTTCAAGGCTTCATCTAGAGAACAGGGATACATCCATCAATGTCTAACCCCCAGTCCAGACTAATAAAAAAAAATCTGAAAACGTAAAAGACAAACCTTTATTTTTTATGCAGAAGTAGCAGAGACCCTTTTTAATTAGAAAAGAGACATTTCTTGCTTTTGCATTGAGAACTGAAATGTATTGCTCTTTTGAGAATTTGAATTCAATGCATTACTTTCCTCAGTGTGAAGAGCTTATAAATAAATACTTTTTCCTGCATAATTATTTTATGATTCATTTTAGGAAAGTAGAGATCTGGAAACAAAATATAAATAATTTGTCTTAAGCATATCATTCATCCTTCTGAAAAGTCAGAATTCTAATTTTTAACTATATTTTATAGAATTTCTTATTTCTGTTTTATATTGATGAACATAATGGGCTAATCAATATAAATGTAAATGATAGTCAGTCAAAACAATTGAAAGAGTAAAGCACCAAATATCATTACATCATTCAGACATCTACTTTTCACCATTTTCATGATGTTTATTGTCAAATGCTAAATTTATATCAGCACCTTGTATATAGTTTCTCAGTTTTTAAAATACTGACTTCATATAATATTAAACTTGGTCTTGGCTAGTGAATATAAAGACATCTGTTCCACTGTAGCTCTTTTCAATAATGATCTATGAAGATGTAATAAATGAAACACTACATATTGAGGTAAAACTATTGGACATTATTTATATCATTAGCAAGTTAGTGAAAGAATTGATAACATTGATTATTGAGAGGATAACTAAGTAGCAGGGAGGAGATTTAGAAAAGGTTTGAACTTTTTAGTTGCTATGTTGTTGATTTGTTTTGGCTGTCTTCACAACATACAATGCTAGCCCATTCCTCATTTTATCAGTATTGATTTGGACTTCAGAAAGTTGAAGGAAAATGTTTTTTCAACTTCACATATTTCAATTTTGCTTCAAAGTATTTTGCTCCTTCTTATGTTATAATTCCATAAGGCAATTTATTTCCTATACATTGAAAAAAAAAACAATAATGTTGTAAAGAGCAACCTTTCCCCCCCCAAGGTTAGATTTGGATATATATAAAGACAAATATGGTGCCAATAGATAAAGAACTCAGAATAATTTGGAAGAAGAAATTGAAATTTTAAACTCTGTAATTCTTTCCTTGATGACAAAGAGCAAAACTAGTTTCTTTGGTTTATAAATAGTGCAGTGATTCTAGAACCAAATACATGGAGATGGTCCTAAGGTTGTGATAATTGTGTTCTTTGGAAATCATCACACAAATCTGTTATTGCCAAAGACTCTTAGTTTACATTTTCCGTGTTATAAAATTAAGCCACAAAAGGTAATATTAAACATGGTTTTAATATAATACGTTACATGATACCAGGCATACTAAACACTCCAACAATGTTTATTGAATTTACCACCCATAGAGCTTAGAGAATATCTGCACACATTATATTTATCTTAACCTACGTATATAGGTATATTTACAATTTTTATCTATTTAAAATAAGTTAAATGCAAAAGTAATTTTTATAGCTTCTTTGTTTAAAATAATACTCAGTAAAGAAAGTCCAGGTTAAAAAATAATAATAACCAAGGACTGATATCTGGAAGACATTTTTCTTTTAAAGTTCTAGTATAAGAGAAATATTGCATAGGTTACTTTCAGTATGGGAAGTATAATGAGTGGTATTTTGAGTCATTGCAGCCCAGCTGGTGTGGCCCAATGGTTGAGCATTGACATGTGAACCAGGAGATCACTATTTAATCTTCAGTGGGGAGCATGCAAGAGGCAGACAATCAATGATTCTTTCCCTCTCCCTTCCTCTCTGAAGTCAATAAAATATATACTAAAAGTAAAATAGTCATTTCCTTAAGTGCTTCATACGCTTTATGAACTATTTAATCCTCTGACTAGCTCTATACGTTGGGAATCCCTTTATTCTAGTTTTTCAGAAGAAACAATCAGGCCTATAGGTGCACAACTCAAGCCATGCCAGCAGTGGCGAGAGCACCGAGATTTCAATTCAGGTGCATGCCAGCTGCATAACGGGGTCCCTTAATCATGCTCCCCTCTTTTCCTGGAACTGCAAAGGATACAGTTCTTCCTGCACTATGTTTCCATGTAGATTTGTAAGTAGTGCTGAAAAATTACAAAATGAAAAATCACGAAACAAAACCACACACTTGTGGACAATAGATTTTATCAGTGACCTGTTATTTATGTGCATTTGGAGATAAATAAGACAGTAAAACCTTTTTCTTTTTTTCCCCCCTCCCTTCAGCTTTGTAATAAAATAGTATTTCTGGTGAGTTTTGTTGGAAACCGTGGCACGTTTACCCGAGGGTACCGAGCTGTCATCCTGGACATGGCCTTTCTCTACCATGTGGCGTATGTCCTGGTTTGCATGCTGGGCCTCTTTGTCCACGAATTCTTCTATAGCTTCCTGGTGAGTACATCTCTCTGTGGACAATTGCTGCTGGGGAAAAATGCACAATGCTTCTTCCTTTGATTTTTTTTTTTTTTTCAAAGCAGGGCCTGACATTTAGGACAAATTATGTTATTTTTAGAGTTTCCTAAGCAAAGCATGAATTGTTATTATTTTTAGTCTTTTTTTTTTTTCCTCTGAGAAACTACATCTGTGGTGGAATTCTTTCTTTCCTCTCTGAGAAAGAACCAACAGTCCACGCTTGACCCAGGTTTCACAGAGCAGGCTGCTTGTGGTTCAGTGAAATCATATATCCATTTACATTTAGAGTCTCTGATGGAATGTGGAAGGAAAAAAAAAAGGGGGATATGTTTCCTTTGTACTGGAATCATTATATTTTATTTATGGTGCCAAATATGTGTATCTTTACAGTGACAATAAGTAAAATGAGGGAGAAAAGTGTCAATCTAGCAAAAAGACAATGAGTTGTTTTAAGAAAAGTCTTACAGTTTCAGATTTAATGTCACTGTTAAGCTTATCTACATATACTTAACTCAGTAAGTGAATTTTCAGTTTCTTCTACAGATTTCTGGTGTGTTTGTTTTTGTGGAGTTTTTTTCTGGCTATCGGTTTTTCTTCATGCATATATGTTTTACAGCCATAAAGGAGAGGAATCAATATAAATAGATGATGTTTTGAAACTTAAAGCACTACCCGGTTAGCATCATGCATAGAAGCAATTTATTTATCTCCCCAGCCCAGAGCTGACATGCAGGAGAGAGCACTTCTCAGGAAAATCACCTGAAAACAAGTTGAAGATCTAAAATCGTTATGCTGACCCAGTTTGCTCGCCTCCTGCTTCCCTGTTATGTTATCTAGCACACCCGTGTAGGAAAGACTGAAAAAAAGCTAATTTTCCATTTACTCCCAAGCACTTGAAAGAGCCACAGTGAAGAGTGGATTTATCCCTTAGGTTTAGATTAAAAATTATCTTCCAGATGGTTAATCAGTTTATTCACCAACCAAAGGAAATCTTTTTTTTTTTTCTTTCCTTGTTTCAGGGATCCCAATGAATTCCCTCTCTGCTTTGATTCACCTGAAAAATTTCATTTAAAGAAATCTGCTGTGGTATACAATTAAATTAAATTTAAAATTTTTTTAAAAATCTGCTTGTGTCTTACAGGGGTGGGCAAAGGTAGGGTTATAGTTATTTGTATGGGAAATAATACAATAATTAATAAATAATCATACAAGAATAAACTCTGCTATTCTTCCTCACAACTGTAAACCTACTTTTGCCCTGTCTTGTATAAAGTCCTAAGGTACCCAGCACTTTATCCTGACTATGATGTGTGTCTGCCTTCCGGTCTATAAGATGAGTAGGGGTAGTATAGGAGACTAGTATTAGCAATATCTATTAAAATGATAGTGTGAAATGAGGTATGTAAATATTTGTTTTCCAAGTAAAGGTATTTGACAAAATAAAGTTGTGTTTGAATGATTTGCATGAGTTATTAAGAGTAATGTTACTTTATGTTACTTAACCTTATTTTTTAGTTTTATTTCCTCTTATCTTTTATCTCTCCAATCTTACACTAGGGATGCTGATGTTATCTGTTTACATTGGGTTGGATATGGAAAGGAGATAGTCCATTTTGATGTTTAGAGTCCTAGAAAGAAATTGTAATGGACGTGGTAACAAAATGGAATTTAAACATTTAAAAAATATTTTTTTACTTTGAAATTATATGAATATGCATTTCTGGTTTTCTCCACAAATGTCAATTGTTTATTCAAAATAAGAAAAGCCACACTCTAGATTTTTCTTTTAGAAATAAACAGAAAGAACCATCAACCTGATTAATGTCAACACCTTTTGCATTCTCAAGATTCTGATTCCACGAGGACAGGATGAGGGCCAGGGACATGCAGATTTTGCAAGCATCCTGGGGGCTTCTGGGAAGCTCTATACTTCCAAAAACTCTCCAGAAGTGACCCAGAAACCATTGTCACTTTTATCTCAGTCACTATTGAAGTAAATTTAAGAAAAACCTCCTTATGTCAAGTAGAAAAGTTCACATCAGAGTGCTGATAATTTGGAAGTTGAATTTGCATTATTTATTTGTCTATTCTAAAGAATGTTGACTTCATATCCAGAATTTTTTGCTCCCTCCAAAAGATACATAGCAGAATAGTTAAACTTCCTCTTTTTTTTTTTTTTTTTTTTTTACCAGTTTCTAAGGTGAGCAAACAAGTTAATAACTTTGCAGCAATTATTTGTAAGGCTACAATTAGATTGAAAAGTGACTGTGTAACCCTCAGTGCTCAAGAAAGCAGGGTATAAGGCCCTGGTGTTTCTGAGAGGATGCAGGACATGGATAACTGATCGTTTCAACCAGTTTAGATGTTCTCATCACTGCTCACAGGTAGCAGAAGACAAACCTCTATTATTCAACTTTTTAAAATATTCTTTATTTTCAAACAGGTATTTATGCCTTTCATAAGTGAATGTTAAATTATTGCTTTAACCCGCTTTTGGTAATAAAACATGTACTTGATAATGTATAATTTTGCATAACAATAAGTAAAAGTGTTTTCAGTGTTGACTACAGATAGCAAACACACACCTAGGTTCTTGACTCCTGGATGATTTTCTCCTACTAAACACATAATGGAAAACAACCCATTAGAGAAAGTGGATTAGCAAAATTGTATATTATATATTTGTTTATACTTCTATTTCCAAATGTATATACTAAAGTAATATGTTTTATCCTCATTAAATGCCTTTTTTAAGGAAAGATGTTTGCATTTCTCAACTATTTTAAAATTTCATATCTATTTCTATTGCAGCAGGCTCATAAAATTGTTCTCATAATTTCATCTCTAATCACTTGATTAAACAATACATTTCAGGAGCCTATCCATTATTCATCACTTAGGTGTACCTAATTCAGCATTCTCACTTTAGTCATTTTACATAGTCTAGAAGCAACTGCAGAATATCAGTAAGAGTAAAAATAAGGAATAAGAAGCTAAGTTGGTTAAGTATAAGACTACAATTTTTCTAAATTCAAATATGAAGCTATGCTATTTTATGTCTTACACAACTGAAATTATGCTGGTTACAGAACCAACAGGTGCACAATATATGTTGTGTTAGGGTTCTCTTTATTGAAAAACAGTTCATTACTACATTTCAACTGGACAGCAATATATATTTTGGCTCATTTTTAAAGTGTCATTTAGGTTGTAATTTTTTCATAGATAAACTAAAATGGCTTGCATTTATATTTGTAATGTCCTTTATACTTATTCATCTTTTACCCCTTTGCATTTTTGTGGGATTTTTTATTTTTTTAGCTTTTTGACTTGGTGTACAGAGAAGAGACTCTGCTCAATGTCATAAAAAGTGTCACCCGGAATGGCCGCTCCATTATTCTAACGGCAGTCCTCGCTCTCATCCTGGTCTACCTGTTTTCCATTATTGGGTTTCTTTTTCTGAAGGATGACTTCACTATGGAAGTGGATAGGCTGAAAAACAGAACTCCCATTACAGGTATTGCTATTACCACTAAATGAGCTTTCTCGGATGGCAGATATGATTTGTAGGGAGCTTGTTAAGAGGATTACAGATAAACACTAATGGAGGAAATGTTTTCTTTCACTCCTTTGAAAAGATGCCTTGTTCACTAAAAGCTCACAACTGTGAAATACTTGTAGGCTGTATATTAGCTGTCAGTGTGTAGAGGAGTATTCTATACCAGCAACGTTATCCAAGCCCAGTATCAATAAGGAAGTTTCCATGACTATAATCCTAAAGACAGTCAACAACTTCAGTAAAGGGTAATTGCTTTGGGATGTTATTCCTCCTCTTTTTCCTTCTCTCCCGAGAACACACAACATCAACAACCATCCTATGTAATCCTATATAATAAAGAGCTAATATGCTAATTACACCAAACAGCAGAATGACAGTCCAGACAAGCTTCCAGATGAAGTTGGGGCTGCAAGGGCTAAGGCAGCCTGGGCTGCAAGGACTGAGCCCCTTGCATGAATTTTGTGCATCAGGCGTCCAGTTATTCTATATGTGTTTGCTCACAATACATTATATTGTACTTAAATAAATGGAAATGATCAATGTTTTGACCTGAAACCATCATAGAGTAAGAAATTTGGGGTAGAAAAAATACTCAAAATATTGTCATTAAGGAGTTCAGTCCATCAGTATGTGGCCATCAAAATTACTGTACAATATTTTCATTGGCTAACCGGTTATACATCATTTATTTATGCTCACTGTGATTCTTATGATGGCTTATTCTTCCTATCTTATTTTTATTTTTACTTATTATGCTTTCTAAAGATTTTAAAAAAATGATTATTGATTAAAGTGTTACATATGTGTCTTTACTTCCCATTACCCTCCCTTCCCCACCTCATGCCTCGCCACTCTGTTGTCTGTGTCCATTGGTTAGGCCCATATGCATGCATACAAGTCCTTTGGTTGATCTCTCCCCCATATCCCTCCCCTCCCCTACCTTCCCTCTGAGGTTTAATGGTCTGATCAATGTTTCTCTGTCTCAGGATATTTTTGTTTATCAGTTTATGTTGTTCATTATATTCCATAAATATTTCTTTTTACCACTTTCCTACCTTTTGTTGTTTTTGTTAAATTTCTTTGTCACTATTTTTTCTCCTCTTCTAATTTATTGACTAGAAATCATAGTTCTGCACTTTGCTGTTAGCTTCTGTGGGTGATGCTACTGCTTATGGGTTATAGGGAATGAAAACCACAAAATTACTCACTCTCCACTCAAGCTATTAAATTTAAAGTTATGATTTAATTAGGTGTGCTTTATAAGCCATACTCTTTCTTGCCTTTAAACATTTGTTAATTATTAAACTAATGATATTTGGTAGTATCTTTCTTAGAATATGGGAAAATTAAATGACATTTAAATCTTTTATTAAGTCTAAGTGATTAAAACACAAAATAGAAAGATCATAGTTTGAAAGTTATTAAACTTGAGGCTGAATTTCATACTTAAATCTTAGTTATGATTAACGGGAACATGAAATATTGCATGTTACTGTGTTTGTTGTTCTTTAAATATTACTTTTTTCCAGGTTTTTGCAGGCGAAAATAATTGGAACAAAAGCTCAGATATATAAATACTCCCCTAAACTTGCTTTTACTAAACTATGTGTGAATTATAAATTACTTATTCTCAAAATTCTTCAAGTTTTAATTGCTTGCAAGGCATTATCACATTGAGCTATTCAGTGCAGGATGAGTCTAAAACCAAAGTATCATAATTCCTGAATTCAAATATATCCAATAGCTATTGTTCTATGAATTTAGTAGTTGATATTTTTAATTGTGTTACTTAAAAGGAAATTAGTGTCATATTATGAAAATATGTTCCTTAGAAATATAAAGATACCTTTTTCTTTTTTGCTTATAATATAGGTAACACTAGACCTAAAATGTCAAGATCTCTACTAAAAGTAGGTATTAATATTTACATAAAAACTGTTAAATAAGAGAAAGCATTAAATACTATGAATCTAGTATATGAGACAGCTAACAAAGTTGAACTCTTGATTCTTCATAGATTGAGATTTTTGTTTCATAGACTGAGAGTGATTGTGATACCAGGCCTTGAGAAAAATACCCTTATTTTCATAATATTTTTAGTTTATTTCAATGCCATATATTATATCTATTGATACAGGGCATAATGTTTATTCTTTCTGATATGGTACACTGTTTACTCCCAAGATTGTGTGTGATTATTGAGGAAGATACACCTTGGTAACGTGAAATTTGAAGGGCATAAGTATGCAGTTTTTGTGTTAGTGTGAAGTCATAATCAGAAAGCCAGGAGACAGGAGCCAAGAAGGGGGAAGTTGAGAGTCCTAGAGTGGAATGGCAAGAGCTTCAAGGTACAAAGGAGAGTGGAGGGTGTAGAATTTGCACATGAAAGTTGGGAATTTAGGAGAATGCAGATCATATACCTCTGTGAACAGTGAAATCTGTGGCTTGATAGGTGAAGGAGGAGGAGCCTCCACTTAACAACATGCAAGGGGGATCCATGTCTTAGAAAAGACCAAGGAGTTAGAGGGAAGATTCTGTTGACAAGTGGAGGTGACAGTGTCTCTCACACATGTCCCTTCTCACCCTCATTCCCTCTGATCCAGAATACTACAGGGACCTCTTTATGTGGATTCCTCACCTTCAGCCTCTATTCTGCCCGCCCCAGTCATTCATTCTGACCACGCTCTGATTCTGTCTCTTATTCGTTCAAACGCCTTCCTGAGATTGGTGCTGGCTGTGGGATGCTTGCTTTATAATCATCAACCTGGAAGCCCAATTAATTCTGTTGTCGTACCTGGGTCTTTGCCAGTCTCTGTCCCTTTTGTCACACAAATTGCACCTGGAATTGCCCGTACCCCCATACCTGCATACCTATCTCTATACCATATTCTTCTTTTTCACAGGAAGTAACGACGTTCCTACTATGACTTTAGCTTCCATGATGGAAACATGTAACAAGGAAAACTGTTCACCCACGATACCAGCTTCAAACACAGGTCTGTAAAAATGACTCCAGAGCAATATGCACTTGTTATATCAGCAGTAATGTTTATTTGATAGAGTTGCTATTAAAATTTCATGGTAGTTTGAAATAGAAAAATGGAGGCTGAAAGAACCAAGAAGTTTCAAACTAGAAAAAGGATTTATGAATCTGCCATATTATATCCTCACCTTGTTCCTTCTATTATTTCTACTCATGGTAATTTATCAAACTTACCCTGTCATACAGGCTGTTAAAAATTCTACTACCATATTGCAAACCCATACCTCACTAAGCAAAACCCTTTTAACTGTATCATCTTTAACAAAGGATCTGGAAACGCATGGCTTAGAATTCAGAAGTCTTGGTTATAACCCTGATCTTGCCACTTTCTAGCTGTCTGTCTTAAACATGTTATGCAAATTCCCTGGACTTTGTTCAGATGGGTTGGCCAAAACTGGAAGGAGGGAGGAAGAGACAGAATATATACTTCCCCTGCTTCCAAAGGAGCAAATGGAACCATGCATATAAAAATCATTTTTTAAACTCAGATTGTTCTCAGTAGTTTGGAAACTTTGGCATATGTGAAATTTAATGAGCTGTAGCAGGAATTAGTGATCTGTTTCCAGAAGCAGCAACAATTTAGAGTGTATAGGTCTTTAAATAGCTCAAGAGTTTTATATATGTACTAGAGGCCCAGTGCACAACATTCATGCATGGTAAGATCCCTAGGCCTGGCTGGCGATCAGAGCCGATCTGTGGTGTGACTGGTGGAGCGATTGGGGGGTAGGGTGGAGGGTGTTGGCACCCACCTTGGCTGGCCTGGGTCTGGGGGCAGCTCCTGTGTTGAGTGTCATAGCAACCAGTCATTCTGCCGTTCAGTCGATTTACATATAAGGCTTTTATTACATAAATATGTGTGTGCCTGTGTGTGTGTGTGTATATATATATATATAAATATATGTGTGTGTGTGTATAATGGATTTAGTCTACATTATGCTAATGAAGGACAACATTGGAGGGAAGATGCAGGAAGAGTTAAGCACAGTGTAAGGATGGATTTCCCCTCTTAAATCTGGGAGCACTTTGTCTGGTTATAAATGATATGCCTTCATTCCTGAGTTGCCTTTTCCATGAGAAGTTGAACTATTGCTTGAAGAAGAATGGAGGATCCCTTCTACTGACTTAATGTTTAGTGCTTTATGCCCTAAAGGGAGAAAAAAGCACAGGGATACATTTGTCTTGGCTGTTATGGGCACTATGAGCAGTAGTCACCAAGAACTTTTACTTCCCCTACCTCCTGGGAACCCAGTCAAAGCTTCCAAACAATTAACTGGCTCATTCTCTGCTCACGTAGCTTACTGTGCTCTGGAGTTTCTAAAGTCCTGTTACACACATCCTCCACTTTCCCCTTCAATTCTTCAGCCTTCTTCACAATTTGCAGCACTGACTCTTGGGGTAACATTCCAGGGGGAGACATTGAGGAGTGGTATCTTATTGCGGATAGTGGGATTTACAATCACACCACACTCTTGACTCCAAAGGTGGCTGACGCTTGGCTAAAATGCCATTCTTCACATAAATGCCTATCCTGTACTTATATGATTGGGAGTTTGGGTATTTCAAGTGTAAAAGCATGCATTTATTTCTGTTTATTTCTGCCAACCTGTAATCCAAGAGCCATTCCATTTTGTCCTGTAAATAAATGAAGAGTTTTCTGACCAGCTGCTCTCTAAGTTTTAAGTCTCTCCCAGTTCTAAGGTGCTATGCATGGTGCAGCTGGTCAGAAAACTCCTCATCTATTTAATTCTGTTAAGCACTATACTCTCTCATCCTCAAGTTTGATCAGCTATAGAACAGGGGTTGGCAAACTGTGGTCCATGAGGAAATCTTACTTGTCATCTTGGACTAAGAATGGTTGTAACATTATTTTAAGGTGTTTTCCCCCCTTTATAAAGAAAGATATGCAATGGGAACTGTACATGGCCCACAAAGACAATTTATCATCTGGCTCTTTAATAGAAAAAAAAATTGCCAACCTTTACTCTAAAATGTTTTTATTAAAGGTGCTAGAAATTCTGCATAGGACAGTGCTAGGGACAGAGTTTTTAGCTTGCTTCTAGAAACATGCCTTCACACTGACTTAGTCACCATTAGCACAGTTCTTTAGCCACATAGAAATTTGTCTTAAATAGACTATCATTTATCCCATGTTTCTCCATCTTAAAAAAACAACACAATTATTAAGCTCCTTGCCAAAGCCCAGATACATAATGTCTCCCACATCCCCAATTTGAGGTTAGTCTGAATGCATGCTGGCCTCTCTTGATCTCTTCTCCTTCCCACACTATCACTTTAATGACCCACTTTGGTGTGTTATCTTGGGGACCAGCATCAAGTTCATCTGTGAGCAGCTTGAAGAATCTGTCACAATCTCAAATTTAGATCTGCAGATGCCTCTATGCTCTTATCATTATCCGTGATTTGTTAAAAATTACAGAGAGGGATTTTGAAAACTTGGACATGGTTTAAGTAATTGGTTAAATTAAGTCCTATATAATAAAAGCCTAATATGCTAAGTGTCCAGTCGTCTGGTTGTCCATTCTACCAATGAAAGCATAATATGCTAATGATATGCTAAGGCTGCTCAACCTCTCACTATGACATGCACTGGCCACCAGGGGAAAGGTGCTCCAATTGGTAGGTTAGCTTGCTGTTGGGGTCTGGCTAATTGGGACTGAGATAGGCTGGACATACTCTGGAACCTTCTCATAGTCCCTCTCCGGCTGGCCAACCTCCTGTGTCCCTCCCTTGCCCCAGTCGTGCACTAGTGGGGTCCCTCAGCCTAGCCTATGCCCTGGCACAATCTGGGACCCCTTGGGGAATGTCAGAGAGCCGGCTTCTGCCCAATCCCACAGGCCAGGCTGAGGGACCCCACTGGTGCACAAATTTGTGCAGGGGCCTTTAGTAGCTAGATAAAATTAAATAGTTCAGGATCTGTGGGGCACCTTGAATATCAATTATTATCACCAGGATATTTTCCCTTTTCTATTCAACATTCTTCTTCCTTAACAGAGTATAAAAAATAACATTTTTACAATTTAATTTCTTGTTAACACAAACATTTTAATAACATGGTTCCAACGTATATAGTAACCTTATTGCTGCATTACTCTTGTATAACTGAACATTACTTTTAACTTACTTCCTTTATTTTAAAGAAAATACACTATATGGTTTGATTTTTAAGAATAGAAAATGACTTTGCCAGTGAACCAACGACAAAGCTAGTGTTCCTCCCACCAGCCTAGAATCATAGCTGACCCATGGGTCTTGCTCAGCCGTTAAGCTAGTGATACTCATCCCAGCGTGGGAGCTGGAAGCTCCTGAGGCACCATGAGGTAACTGCTCCTGGAGGGAGGTCTTCCAGGTCAGACATGGTTTAAGCGTATCCCAGGTCCTGGCTAACCAGTTCTTATAATTCTGCAGAATTTAGGCTTTCTGCAATTCCCCAGGCACTGGTGTTGATTCTCCTCTAGGCATTCTATTGTAATTGTTTCATATGCTATTACTAATGGAGATATTTTAACCTTAACTTTGAAAAACTAAAGTGGATATTTTTGTAAAACAAGAAATTAGTTGTCCACACAGTACATTATTTGATGCTGGTAATAGTCATAATTTTTAAAACCTTGTATATTCATTCATATATCAGTATTTGTTGAGCCTATACTATTGGCCAGCCAACATGCTAGGTATTATACTGTTGAGTAAACAAACATAAATCCTGGCCCTTAATGGAACTTATAAAACAGTGAGGGAAGCATAAAAACTGTTATAAATTATGATGAGTCCTGTAGGCGTCACTATGAGGGGTAGTCATGAGAGAGCCCGGTTGTAGAAAGATCAAATAGAAAGGCATTCCTGAGGAGGAATTATTTAAACTGAAACACGAGGTGAGAAGGAGCTAGTCAGGCCAAGAGGAAGGAGAAGTGTATCTGGCCCCAGGGATGCATGAGTCTAGTTCAAGGATAGATGGATGCGACTAATTATCCTCATGGTATAGGTACAAAAACCGAAGGACCTTATGTAAGATCACATGGCTAGTAAATCAATGTAGATCTCTTACCCCAAAGCCTGAACACCAGCCTTCTCAGTTTTATTGCCTCTTAATTACTAAATGATTAATCCCTATAAATTATATTTTTCCTAACCCAAATTTAGAGATTGTTTAAATTCTGCCTATTGAATTTCCTTTCCAAGTATGCTTGGATAGATTGTCTTTATGCATATCATGTTCTAAAGGCAGTTCCTTAAATATTCTCTCTTATGTGTTTATCAGCTGGGATTAATTCCTTTCTCACCACTGCCTTGGGAATATTTAGCAATGTCTCCAGATATGTTTGGTTGTTGGAACTCTGGGAGAAGTGCTATTAACATTCAGTGAATAGAGGCCAGGGATGCTGCTAACCATCCCACAATACACAGGACAGCCCCTCCACAAAGGATTATCCATCACAAAATGTCAGCAGTGTTGAGGTTGAGAAAATCTGTCCTTTTACGAAGTCTATTTGGATATTAGTTTGTAACTCTGGACACAAATGTGTAAAAGACTTCCTGTATAAACCTCTACAACCTCTTACCTAAAATATTACACAAAGAACATCTCTTTTATCTATGGATTGATGGGGACAGCCCTTCTTCCAGGTGTATTGTTCAAGGAGCAAAGTCATCTTTTTTCCTTTCTCATTTTTCAAGGCTATACTTGAGATAGGAATGGTGGGAAGAGGCAGAATGCTGGGCAGAGGTGGTATGATTTTTCATGAAAAACTCCCAGTGTGCCAAGCCAGCACAGCCAACAGTTCGGTGAGCCTGAGGGAAGACTGGCGAAGGATGAAAAAAAGACAAAGAGAATAAGCTGGATCTAGGTGGATCTTCTGTGCCTGGCAGAGGCCACAGAATAGATCCACACTGCAAGCTTAGCCTTTATTTTATAGTCAGAGGTAAACAAATGAA